TTCTCAGTTTAAAGCTAGGTTACCAATGGTCCGGATACCAGACGTCTGCCCCGGACATCAGGTACCTTTGTCGTCTGGATTTCTGGACGACGACTTTTTGACACTAAAAAAAAAAACTAAAAAAATCACAGTGTTGCGCATGCCCTAGAGACCCCCCACAAAAATTTTCAGAATTTTCTGAGCATTTGGTGATATGGTGTTATTTGGGGTGGGGAAGGGGGTACGATGGGTTTTGGTGGAGATAGGAGAGGTATAGGTGGGGATTAGAATCTTTAATGATTTTTATTATTTATTCTCCTAGCCCAAATGATCCAAAAATTTGGTGGCATACTCCCAATGCAAGGTGGAAGCCACCTGATTTTTTTCAAAACATTAACTTTTTTTGTTTGTTTTTCTTTTTGCGCTAGGTCGGACATACCCTGTCCACTCCGACGTCCGACAAGATGCCCGGTCAAACATCCCGGACGGTCAGGGGGACCCTGGACGTCCGATCCAACAACCTAAGTTTGAAGGAGTTAGAGTATATTTTAACAGGTAGCGATTCTGACAATCCACCCTGAATAGAGGAGATTTTGCCGAAGGTCTACCTTTTCTTTGGACACTGGCTCAGGGGTAGACTTAGACTTAGTTGGCAAATAGTTTTTAAGTAAGAATGTGCTATGGAGATTTATTCCCCATACGCTAATGATTTAGCTTGGGCATACACTTGTCTTATGGTACAAGTCCCTTTGATCATTATGTCGCAAGATGGGCTAGACATAGACTTAGTGTGCCGTTAGACACTCCTCGGGGCATCCTCGGCCTCCGAGGATGAATCCTCATAAAAATTTAGGGGTTTTATCGTCTTCATTACACTTATCATCTTCATTACACTCATCCTCGGAGCAATGTCAGAAAAAAAAAAAGAAACAAAAAAGAAAAACAATTGTGTTTCAGGCATTCAGCCAATAGAGTGCCGCCACGATCCGAATTCTCGGTTGTAATGTCTCTCTACGTGCATGCCCTCTCCTCTTCGTGAAACACATCTCCTCGGGCCCCAAAGGACCTCGCGACGTCCTTTGGAGCCGAGGACGATTTGGCTACGATCCTCGGAGCCCAAGGATTTGTCCTCGGAGTGTTTTCACATTTTCATTTTCGATTTCATCTCCAAGGAGAGTTGGAACGAATACGAAATCTTTGGAATCACGTCCCCAAGGAATGTCTAACGACGCCCTTAGTTTACAGATAGTTTTTAAGTAAATGTTTCATTTCCGATTTCATCTCTGAGGACAGGTGGAACGAAGACGAAATTCTTGGAATCACGTCCCCGAGGAGTGTCTTACGACGCCCTTAGTTGGCAAACAATTTTTAAGTAGGAATGTGCTATGGAGATTTATTCCCCATACGCTGATGATTTAGCTTGGGCATTGACATGTTTGATGGTACACGTCCCTTTGATCATTCTGACTCGAGATCGGGCTAAATTCAGCTTGGTTCCACAAAAATCATATTTTGTTATCACTGATAATAGATTGGTTGTCGATTCGTCGGTTTACGACTCAACCCCAATTCACTCACCACTCAACCTAAAGGTTTTAGTCCTGTGATTTGTTTTGTTTCGTTGTGTTTTTACCCGGACTTTATTGAATGGTTATTTAACACAGGTACTGAGTATTATATTGCTAAAAGTGCGCTAAGGTTGAGGTTTGCAAGGCTAAAGCGATTGGTGTGAGCGCAGGGAATGGTTGAAAATAATCCCGCGTAGTGCATGAACTTTTGGTTGAATCTTTGATGTAATTGCAGGTATGTTTGATGGTTCAGACTTTAAATTTGACTGTCTGCAATCACATACATATATATGGCTGACAGGAGTTCCACTGTGATTGTAAAAATTGATCGTCACATACTTTGAGAGAGAACGGAGATCCTCTTTTATCCTTTGCTTTTTATAGTTTTTATATAGTTGGACGTTGTAGTCAATGACAACCGTCAAAGTCAAACCCCTTGATTTCTCTCCAGGCCCTAGATAATGTAGCTGGTCTTCAAGGCGATAAGAGACGATTGTCAACACAGGTATGAACATGTATATCACCCACTCTCCGCAGGATGCAGAAGAGGGTGTGGTTCTCAACCATACTTGGCGGTTGTCCAGCATCGAAAGAATAACCCCTCAAGATGCGTGTCAGCTGACACTTGAGTGTCAAACGCGACCCTCGAGATTATCGAGGACCACGTGATTATAGGCACTACATAATACGCCATCATTGTAACCGCTTACGTAAGCATGCATTGTTGGTCAATGTGGGAAGACCTTACGTCCGCACGGTTTTATACCAAGTCTCGCGCGCGTAGACTATCCGATTTTTTGCGTCGAAAGGTTATGAAAGGACTAGGAGTGTTATCATGTTGTTTGTTTTGTGTCGTTCGGTATGTGTGAGCGTTGTGGTGTAACGAGTGATAAATGGGATATATCCTAATTGACCAACGACGACTCGCGCTTGGGACTTCAACCCCCTTGTGCATCTGTCCACGTGCAGGTCCGATAGAGGAGGGAGACCGCACGTACCCCCTCTGCTACAATGAACGAGAAACGCCCTCGGCTGGTCCACCTCTGCGATTGCAACTGATTAGCTTTCATACTGTGGACTGGTAGCTCGGTAGGGATACGCCCACTGAAGGGAAGTGACAACTTTCGTAAGGTGGAGGTAAGTTGTACCTTGCATTGGCTCTATCCTGTCGTAGGGGCTCGCGAAAGGTATGGTTGGCGCACTCAGCCGGATCGGCTAGCTGAAGCTCCATGATTTTCACGACGAGGTAGACCAACTCATGTGTGACACGACCGGGAAGGTCCCGCCCTACGCGGCGTGAGATCGATGCGCTCGGCAACGCAGTCCAACCATGCCTGCCCAGAAATCCACAAATTAAATTTATGCCTGCCCATACTGATGCCCCCCTCTGGAAGGGTACACGTACCTGCCCATAACCTGTCGATTACAACTATGGTCAGGTGCGGCAGCGGTTACCCAATTACCACCTCTGACCGACACTCTATCCCCATGATACGTCGCACACCCAGCACTACCACCATGTCCATGCCAATCGTGGACATGGTGGCAGCAATAGCCTCTACATCTATGTCATGCAGAACGCACACTTCACTGGTTAAACCACTAGTAGGTCCACTACTACCTTTGACGGTTGGAAAAAATGGGAAAAACTTTGAACTGGCAGTTTTCCAAAACTCCTAAGGAGTCGGGGGTTGGAGCCGACAGCGGGCGCCGTTGATAAATCTCATCGGTGGTTGTGGTTTCATTTTGCCCTCCTAAAAGATCGGAGGCCCACTTGAGGCTTCCCTATTTTCCCAACCATCAAAGGATTCATGGTGTCAAGTGAGGTAAACCAACCCCACAAAAAAAAAAACTCAGATTTGAAATTCAAGAATACAAGAGTTAAACCTACTCAGCAACTCTGTTTTGTTTTTGTGTTGTCGTCTTCTTTTTTTTAACCGTGCTCAAACCCACTAACGGATTGGAGAATGCCAGCATGGTTCACAAAAAAAAAAAAAAAGACAAGAGACTCTATAAGCTACTTATAGTTTAATCCATCTGGCATAAGTGTTTGGATATTATTCCAGCATGCAGTGTGGCATAGGAAAGTCAAAAGTCAAATTCACACGACACACCGCACAGGAAAGTCAAATTCAAATTCACACCACACATTGCATAGGAAAGTCAAAGTCGAATTCACACCACACACCACATAGGTAAGTCAAAGTCAAAGTCACACCACACACAGCATAGGAAAGTCAAAGTCACATTCCACCCACACCGCCCCACCTGCTCCTACCGATCAAATGGTCCGGTGAAGTGACTGGATCGCGGTGAAGAGTCTGGGTCTCGCCGGTGCTTCGCCGAGGGTGCTGTGAAAAGTTGATCAAACCTTGTCATTTAGAGGAAGGAGAGGTGGTCATACCAATGTTTCCGAGGGGAAGAAAAACAAAGAGAAGAAAGGACGAACAAAAAAAAAGAAAAGAGAAAAAAAAAGGAGAGGAAAAGAAAAGAGGCGGTAACAAGTTTCCAGTAGACGATCCTATAGTACACCCATGTAATTTACAACACCAACCTCACTGGGGCTGGTCAGTTCAAAATGGTGCAGACACACACTCACACACAAACCCCTAACTGTGTTGCGCCATCAGTGTTTGATCTTATGACCGGCTTTTTAATAGTCACGTGTGTACCTTTCACATACATGAGCGGGTGCGACCTTTTCTTTTTCAATACATGCATTTATTATATTGTTTTTTATTTAATTTGTTTCCAAAACTTTACAGCAGTCGATACGAAGGGAGGAATTTGTGATGTGCTCTATGCAGCATGTGGGCAATGTTCTCCACATGTGTGCACATTTCCTACATATTTCGTGCATATTACGTGCATATTTTGTGCATATTTCATTCCTATTTCGTGCGCATTTTTTGCATATTTCATGCATATTTTGTGCATACTTCGTGGAAGTTCGTGCATATTTTGTGCATATTTTGTTTGTATTTCGTACGTATTTCATGCGTATTTCGTGCGTATTTCATGCATGTTAAGTGCGTATTTTCTGCGTATTTCTTCATCTGCACATGTGCACATTCCCTGTGAACTTGTACCTTGGAATGAACATAGGAAGAGACATCCTGACATGGCATAAGTATTGCAACTCCTCTTCACATCACTAAAGGCCAATCACACCATTAATTCATTCATTCATAGAACAATTCACAATGAGCATAGAGATATGACACAACTTCGCCACCAAACTGAAAGGGGGTGTTGGGGACCAAAGAAGGTGGGTCGGTGGGTTGCGGAGGGGGGGAGGTTGGTGAAGGTTGCACCCCACCGACTGAACTCCCTCATCCAGCATACAGAAATGGTAGGTGAGAAAAAAAGAAAGAAAAATCCTGATATGGTAGAAAAGGATCAACAAAGCATGCCTATGGCAGTGCGGCCCGCAGGCAATGTTCTCTGCACGTGTACATTTCATGAATTTCATTCATATTTCGAGCATATTCTATCACACTCGCATGCATGCAAATCCTTCGCCTCGCCTTCGTATATCTGCACCTAAAGACACTTTTCCTCTTTCTGCCAAAAAAGGATCCAGATTCAGAACACTACATCACACCCTCACATAACTGAGCCCCAAACACAGAGTGCATCTCATCTATAACAGTCCTATTAGCAATCAATATTGCGTTACGGCGGACACCTTCCTTTTCCACAAGCTATAGAGGGAAAGGAGAACAGAGTGCATCTCATCTATAGCAGTCCTATTAACAATCAATATTGCGTTATGGCGGACACCTTCCTTTTCCACAAGCTATAGAGGGAGAGGAGGGAGGAAGGAGGTACACACCACACCAAGCAACTCACATCTTCCTCCCTCTGCACATTTCCCTTTCTGTACAAAACCGAATACCATTACAATCTCAATGACCTCCACATGGTGGTGCAGGTCACATTAAATTCACACAATACATTGCCAAACTAGAGTTTCTAGGCCCCAGCACTGGCCAAGACACAAACTTCAACACACTACAACGTACGGTAATTATAACTGTATCAAGACTGAAAGATGGCTCAAATACAGCTATAATGACCGTACGTTGTATTCGGGGGAAGAAGGTACCATCTTCCCCTGAACACCACCACTCATTTTGCCTGCACTTGGCCGGAAAGTTAATCTGTATACATTCGTTATCAGGGTGCGTTGTGTTCAGTGGAAGACGATAGCTTCAAACTTTTACAAAATAATGTACCTTGCTACAACTGCCACAGTTTCATTCTTCAACACTCTCTGACTATATAGCAGTTGCATCATCATACATCCCTCCTCCTCCTCCTCCTCCTCCTCCCCTTCATCATCATCATCATCATCATCATCATCATCATCATCATCATCATCACTCTCCTTAACCTCCCAGCAGTAGGCTTGCAGCAAGGAACTTTTTATCCTAGGATGTGACGAAAGATCGCACCTAAAGTACTCCAAATTTAATCCAACCCTCCAAACTAAACCACATAACAACTGTGTACACACTTGTCTCCACATTTGCTATGCAACCCTCCAAACAAATGTATAACAAGTGTGTAACAGCCGTCCAACAACTTTCTAGCCCTCCTAGCAGCAGGCTTGCTCCAAGGACGACGACGAAAAATCAAACCCACTTTACTCCAAATTTAATCCAACTCTCCAAACTCGACCACGTAACAACTATATAAAAACTGTGCAACAACTGTGTGACAGTTGTTTTAACAACTTTGTCACAGCTCTGTCACACCTTTGTCACAACAGTGGTGTGACAACTACGTACCAATGCAAGTGCCGCACTGCAAACCGTTCTCTCTCTCTCTCTCTCTCTCTCTCTCTCTCTCTCTCTCTCTCTCTCTCT